ATTATTTCGATTATTCAAATCGGTGGTGTTCGTGGCTAAACCACAAACCCCACCGATTTCAATTGCTTCAATTATTTCGATTCTTGGGGTGGCCCAAATAATTGAAATAATCGAAATAATAGAAATCATGTGGTTCGGTGGGCCGAAGCCGCCGAACCCCAGGATTTGAATCATCGAAATAATCGAAATAATTGAAATAATAGAAATCCGGCCGATTCCTATTATTTCGATTATTTCGATTCTTGGGGTGGCCCAAATAATCGAAATAATCGAAATAACAGAAATCGGCCGGATTTCAATTATTTCAATTATTTCGATTATTCAAATCGGTGGTGTTCGTGGCTAACCAATGTTCCAGTAGTATATGCTTCGAATCCACATGACATCAATTACGGTTGACACATCAAAAAATTTTGATTTTGCCACGGTAGCCATCAAAAAATTTTGCGAAGCATCTAAAACATATTTGATAAGAGGGTTTAGGTTTTTAGACGGTAGCCATCAAAAACAAATTTGATAGGCATCAAGAAAAAATTGCATGGAGGGTTTAGGAATTTTTCAAGGTGTTTATCAATTTTTTGAAGATGCTTATCAATTTTTTTAGATGCTTATCATTTTTTGATGCCTATGCCACTACTACGACACTGTGTAATAGGTTTGCTAACCCATTATTTCTTCTGCTGATGTTTCATTAACTGGTAAACAACTCGAGTATCTACGTACTCTTCAAGTTATGGCAAGGGCATTGCATGATTTCCTCGCTTGTGAATACTTGGGGCATATTGGCATTCTCTTGTGCTATCTCCTTCTTAATGAAATAAGCGGTAGTCACTATCTACGAACGCATTAGTACTCAACTGCTACACCGTTCCTTCTGGTGCTGCAACACCGATTAGCTATTCTAGCACTTATTCACGAGTTTTGAGTGTTCGTGGGTATGACGACTTCTCACTCAGGATGGCAATTTCTTGCATGACGTGTGGCAAACCTATGACACGGACAAGTACGCAGCCCTTTGCAATATGGCCGCCGCCTTAGTGTGCTTGCACACGAAGCCCCCAGGCCTGAGACCTTCGAAATTAAGTTTCAGTTTTGAAGTTGTGGTCGTGGATCAATGGGCTCAGGCGCTGTGTTTTCACGCTTGATTGAACTTCTCTGGATACTTTCAACCCTTTCAACCCAAGCGGTGCAAGACAAAGCCACTCCTTCAGGATTATCCCCGCTTGGATTGCAGTCTCATCGGGGCTTCGTCGCTGAGGCAGTCAGCAAGCTGTACTTCTCTGCCTCTGGGCTTTGCTTGTGGAGAACTTTCAGTGATTGGATTCCCGCGTCCATGAACCTGCCACAGGCAATCTGCCTTAGTTCGCTTAGATTGATTTGTATCTTGTGGTTTCTAGGCCCTGCTTTTAACTTGCATAGTGGGCGTGTGAACTCAGTGGGACAGGTAGGACCAAAGCAACCAGCTACAGCTACAAGACGCTGTCCTGCTGCTTAGCGGCTGGACGCCAACCTTCAGCACGCTCAACCAACAGGCCCGAAGCCACCCGGAACAGGCGCTCAGCCTCAGATGAGCCCTCAATACTAACACTAACTAACAGGCCTGAAATCTCATCCAATGCTCCGGCCCAACAGCTGAAGCCAGAACAGCTCCATCAACCCGAAAGCGTTGTTTTCGATTTTCGATGCTGGCTCTGAATGCAAGTGGTGTTTCTCTTGCCGTGGTGCTTGACCACCCTGCTTCTGTAATCGAAACGGCGAAGCTGCGAATTCTTCAATTCACACATTGCCCGAAATCTGCTCTCTCAACCCCTAGACTCCTAGACCTCATAATCTCGCAGCCTTGCCCGACCTATCTCCAGCCCGACGCAACTTAGTGTGGCATCGTCTTCCTATGGACCGCACGGATGCTCGCCGAGGCTCGAACCCGATTTCTGGAAGCTTGGGCAGCGAAAAACAACTTAGTGACTTAGCGGCCGAGGACACAGGGCGTTGGATGGCAGGATGGCGTTGGCGTGTTGTGAGTTTGGGCTGGCTGTGCTCAGTTGTTGGGTCGAAGGACTGTGAGAGGGTTTGTGGTGGAGACACCGAAAAGCTGGAAGCTCAGCAGCCTGATCCCAGCACTCTCCAACCAGGTCAATGTGTGAAGTTTCCAACTTTACAAATTTCCATTTCTGCGTGCAAAAAGAAATCTGCATTCACGGTTAAGTCTCTAGAAGCATCCGGAATAGGCAAGTACAGCAGTATACTGAATAGAAGAGCTCAGTGCTGCGTGCTTTGTCTTGGATTTTGGCATTGGGCTTTAGTCTGAGGCCATAAACCCGATGAGAGGCTAAGTTTTGCGGCTTGGCGCTCAATACCGAAGGCTGAAGCCGGTGAGAGGCATGGTTATGGGGCAGTTTTAAGGGCTTCAGGCTCTTTGAAAGCCTTAAGTCAGTCAGAGCTTGTCTTTTACGTCGATGAGACGTTTCGCCTTAGGGATTGAGGTGGTATTCTGACGGCCTCAAACGGGTGAGAGGGTTAGGTCTTTTTAGTTTCCGCGGGAGCTTTCCAGATTCCGGCAGGGACAAAGGTGACTTTCTTGCTCTGTAGCGTGATTTGGGCTGAAGGACTCGCACCCTTGAATTTTTGAAATCCAACACTTAAAACGACCTTATGCCAGGTGAAGCAGTCGCTCCACCTGATGCACGACCTTTATTGCATTCCTCAGCTGCCACTATCTGCGACGGCAAAGCAGATGGTGTACCAGGCCGCGCGATGAAGGCTTAGGCAGATGCTGGATTCGGGTGGCATGACGGGTTCTGAGGGTGTGGCAACGGCTGGCGCGAAGTCGGACTGGGGTTGATATTTTCAGCTAAAGGTTTGGGGTGAAGGGGCTGCGCCGTGTCCCGGGGGTGCTCTGAACAAAGGGGAACCATTGACTGTGCAGGAACCTTGGCTTTTGAACCCCGGCAGCCACTCTCAAATACTGTAAGGTCCAGTACAGCCTTTGACCGCTCTACTACGATTCGTGGCCAGATGTGCAGCGATGCACAAGCCACTCCCTTACTCGCCAGCAATTTCAGGGCCCGCTGCGCCCTTTTCTGCTGCAAGTTTACAATCATCAGTTGACGACATTGAAGCCCTCCAAGAAGCTAACTCTGTCCCAACCCCAAAAACCCCAAACACACAAACTTCGGTTTTCGGAGATCCCTGTCGTTGCCTTATCAGGTCAAAGATGGTGACGAGATCGAGCGCCCCCTTGACGCACGATTTCCTGCTAGATTTCTTTGAAGGAGCTTTCCTCCAGTGTGAAGGCTGGCTTCTGATATTCTAGTCATTCTAGTCCCAAGCTAGACCAAGTTCAGATTCCAGATTGGGTGTTGAGACTGGTGCCTTTTGCGTTTGGTGGTATTAGGTCGTGCCGACACTTGTGAGCAGCAGGTTATGGCTTCCTGCAACCAATCCTGTGCTCTGTGAGGAACCGTTGCATCATGTTCCGACTCGATGCGGCTTTGAGTGTCAACTGTGCACAAACGTTATCCGCGATTTGGTCGTCGTTCGTTAAGGAGTAGGAAGGTCGAGCAGTCTCTTGTGATGTCATGCTGGGCAGAGCGATTTCAAGTCGGACATACTGACGCCAGCAAGGCTTTCTAAGCCCTGTTCGTAGACCATTCGTTCTTTTTTGCTTGTGCCTTTTCCCTTCTTCTCAGATGTTGGATTCAAGATGTCATCCTGCGAGCTTCCAATTCAGGCTTCGAGATCTTGGCTCTGAACCGATTGGTGCGGATCATGCTGACCGTCCTGATCGCTTTGCCAAAGCTTCTTGGATAGCTCCACGCCTTTCAACCAATCCCGAGCATGGAGATAAGAGCCACGAGCTCTCTGCCTGCTGAGCCTGAATTATTCATCTCAAAATGGCACTGGTTCATCTCAACTCAGCGGGTTCCAATGACCTGATAAGGCGTGCTTTCTGGAGAGGCAAAGCCTTTGAAGCTTTGTAGACACGTCTGATGGAGGCTCATGGCTCCAGCTCTCATACCCAAATCACCAGAATCAGAAGCTCCGCTTTCAAATCCAAGGATTGGAGTGGCTTTCATTCTCATGCTCAGTGGCTGCCGCTGGCTGGCCGCCACCCAATCCTTTGGGGTCTCCTGTCACTTCTTGACTGATTTCTGGGTCTAGGCTTCAAGGTGTTGGATCATAGAGTGGACGTTTGAGGTTGCGGTTTGCTATTTGCCACTGTGGTGTTTGTCCAGTTGAGGAATTGAGGTGCTGCGGTGCAAACGGACGTATTTCGATTTTTCCTGTCGCGGCTCAAGAAGGTTGCCCAAGTTGCAGCCTCCGGCCTCCCCAAGACCAAATACAGTTCGTAGTGATTGATGAACTTTGCTGGTCCTGCAACTCAGAATCCTGGGAATAAGAGATCACAAATCCAGGGAAGTGCTGCGCACCGAGGATCTCATCCTAAACGCACTGGCTCTGGAATTTGTCCCTGGCCAGCATACTTCACAGGATGTTCGTGTACATGGTGGAAGCCTTCAAGAATCTAGCGATTAGTGCAGTTTCGCCGCAAAGCGAATCTGCACGCTACTTTTGCTTCTACGGCTCTCTGACTCACATGCTGCCCGTTCCAAGTCTTGATCCCGGATGTCTCGCAGCCAGGCGGCCACATAGGTGGTGTATTTACCGAAGTGTCCTCCAAACCGCCTGTGACACGCAGACACCGCGAAGACAGGAAGCGAGTTTGGACCAAATCCCGCAAAGACTTCAGTCACAAGCCTTGATTGGAGGTCTCAAGATGAAAGCTCGAGCCCCTACTCCACACCACAACAAGCACTAATGCCCCACAGTCTGCAGATTCACTGTGCTGTCCTTAGCTTTGGAGTCGCGTTGGGTTTACAGCACATGAACGTGCTTCGTTCGACGCGAGCCCACACGGGGGGAAGGGAGTGAATATTCCTAATCAAGTTTTTGAAAACTTGTGTTAGACCTGAAGGAAAGCACGACCGTTGGGGCATGGCGCAGGTAATCGGCATCGACGAACTCATGTTCGAGGCATTCACCCCCGAGCAGACTCGCAACCTGCCAGGCAGAGATAAGGCCTAAGCCCGAATCTCCGTTCCGTTTGGGCGGCTTCGATTGCAACTCTAAGCTAAGAGCACGGCAGCACATTGTTTTCCAAATCCGGAAGTAAGGACCCTTCACTTGCTGATCACTTGTTAGCCACCACTCCGCTCGCACAAGACACTGGGTCTGCAGTTGCCTATCGCGGGGTGCGCAGCAAGGTAGCTTCATCGAGCAGACGAAGATTGCATACCCCAGAGAGGCGAGAGGTCGCTAACACATGAGCGGAATTGTCATGAGCTGCTATTTTTTTACTGCTGTTAGAGATAATCCTGCACCGCTTCCCTCGGCAATCCTGCTGCTTGTGGCGGCCCGGTGTCCACACTGCTGCTGTGCACCGAACACCATCCTCGGCGTTGTTTTCAAGTCCTCCCATGCATCTGTCGGGCTCCTTCCTGCCACCAGGGCCAAGGGGGCATCCAGAACCTTGGCCTGAATTTAGGCGTTGGGCATCGTTGGGCCCTAAGCTGAAGCATCAAGGCTGAGGATAAGACTCTGGGTCCCTGCTTGAGACGGGCTGGCGATCTTCCTCCGGCTCCAAGCAGTCGGAAGCGCGGCTAGAATCAGCGCATGAGAGGCTTTCAACCTTGCGGTGAGCCGCAGTACATGTAAGCCATGCAAGGGAAGGCTTTGTCATTCTCCGTGACCACAGTGGCGCCATCAGACCCCGATGGCTTACTGCGCAATTCGCCTTCAGTCAAGGTCCACCACCCTTGGCATTTCTGCCGGGTTTAGTGTGGATGTGGAATAGCATGCACCACGAACCCATGCCTTAGTCTCAACGAGACCACGAGCTCCCCTGGTTGTGCCAAGGAATGAATCCAGTATGTCGCTTCTCCTGACCCTCGACTCCTTATCAGGGATCCAGGGGTCGGGGATTTGTTGGATTTCGTGTTTCCACCAACCGCGGGCTTGAATTTCAGGCGTTTTGGATTTCTTGGGTGCGTTCGGCTGCTACCCTGCCTGCAGAAGCAGCATTAGCAGATCTATGCCAAACCACCCTTGAGATGCCTCCAGGAACACGCTGGCGATCATCCTCAACCTTGCATGGTCGTACATGTACTTGAACAACTGGCAGCAGGCCGGCTCGTTTGCACTTCGTATGTTCTCAGCGTAAGACCCCACAGCAATTGAGCTATATGAGCATTCGCTGCCTCGGGCAAAACGTGTTGGTTTTGATGAGCGTGAATGTCATAATTTGCATTGATATAGCATGCCACAACGGTTTTGCATCCACCAGGATTTCAGAGCAATTTGAGCAGAGTTTAGAAGGGTATTGCTCCCCAGACAGACACAGTTTGGCTTGGCATGGATTCACCGGCGTAGGAGGGCTGATGGCTAATTCTCTTTCCGACCCGACTTCCGTGCCACGTCGTCGAACAGCAAGCCGCAAATTTCAAGCAGGGCAGATGCGAATTCCAAAAGCAAACAAGATTCCCTCGTTTGATTTGGGAGGTCCTGCCGAATTTCTTTCATGACATTCGAGCGCACTGTCAAAGCAGGCACTGCTCTGGGAGACAGGGGGGCCGGGTCAGGGAACGGCGTGGGCTAGACCAATGCTGAGGTTTGCCGAGATGTACACGCTGAAGTGCCCCTTCATGGGAGATCCGGATGAGTGCTTTCCGTTCGGCGAGTGACTCTTGGCTTTGGCAAGTCTGGCACTTGCTGGCAGCATGTGTGCGAGCTTGCTGTGCATTTTAGCTCACGTGAATCTCACAACTTCCGGGACGTCTTGTCAGTAGCTCTGTTCACCTCTTGCAAACCCAAGCTGTAGTTTGCTCAAGGGGGTCTTCCTTTCAGCTTGGGTCCATTGCCAGCTTCGACCGGCCGGCACCAGCCACTGCTGTTCCAGTGCCACATGCTCGCCATCAGAGTCACTGCGCAGATCGATCTGCATGTTTCGACGGACGCAGCGAGATGCTGGAGAGACATATGCCACGAGAGCTGTGTCAGCGAGCACCATGGCCAAAGCAGGTATCACACACCCTTGCCTTCAACGAGGAGACACTGTGTTTGCAGTCTGTGCTGATGGAAGCCTTCATCTCTTCTATATTTCAGAAGTTTCTCATGGTGTGGAGACAGACGGATGCCGAGATGCACTCTGTAAGTTGGTGCGGAGCAAGCCGATGCAGGCATTGGCCATGACGGAGGCGCTTGGTTTCAGCACGAAGCCCGGAGCCGAACCTGTTCCAGCACGGCAAGCCGCTTGCCAAAGGTGTCGTGTCGTGTTGACCGGGTGCGCGATGCGTGGATGGTCGTCCTAGTCTCACTTAAGGCTGCGATCCTCCTAAGCGACTTGACAGTCAGGCAAAACAGGCAAAACATCAAGCTCTGCTGAGTCTAGAAAAAGCCTGAGCTACACAAGCAAGTGATTTTGACGACCGACCCGGTCTGGCCGGTTATTGCCTAAGCTTTGACGGTTTGAATTCGCGTGCGCCGTGGCAGCTGGGACTAGGGTGACGTTGCACCAAGGCATGCCGGTTTTGAAGCTGGCTTTCTATCATAATTCGTTGAGGGCACAAGAGATGTCAACACCAGCAGGGCGACACCTGGTTGCTGCGCAACGCTGTACTTGTGCAGGTTCTCCTGTCAGCTGGCATCTTCCACCAAAGCGGCCTGATGCAAGATGGCTACCTCAAGGAAAAAGATGCATCATGATAGTTGATTCTGCTGATCTGCAAAGGCAACTCGGCAAGCTGCCCGTCTGTCGTCAAATTCACGTGTCAACAAGAATGCGGTTGCTCGTTGCCAGCCACTTTAATGGGAAAGACATGAGAGGACACTTCCCAAAGTAGGGTGAAACATTTACCGAACGCAGAGCTGAGGATACAACCGAGCTTCAATGAGCTTCGGCCTGCTGGGTTCCGGAGTTTTACATCTCGCAAAGTGACAGAGATGCGAGGCCTGCGGTCGCCGGAAGCCCCCCAGATCCCAAGCATCTGACAAGGAGCCGGAGTGCCTTGGAGGCTCACGGTCAAGCCGTGCGAGCTTTCTGGCCCGGCCACATCGAAAAAGTCTCTGTTGAAGCTCGCGGTTGGGACTTTGACCCATCATTTCCAAATGGACTGCAATTTGAGAGTTTATGGCATCAGTCGCTCTGCCTAGGCTTCACCAAGTTTGGGTCCGCTGTCACTGTTTACTGGCCGCGGGTGGGGCACCCATGGAGAGTGGAGGTTTGCTCTGGCGGTTGCTTGTTTTGTGTTTCACGGCTTCACGGCGATCGAACCAGACTCGAGACAAACTTATTTCCCGGCGGAGTTCTCAGAACAATGCAAACTCGGCAAAGCTTTCCTAACCACTGCATGACAAGAGGAAGGTGTCTGATTTCGGCATGTTCCAAGCTTTGGGTTCAATCTCACCCGCATGTTCGCTTTCTTGGTGGCTTCAGGATTTGGGCAAGGGTTTGCGGACTTACTTAGTGCATGGAGGCCAAAAGTCCGAAACAGACTCAACCTCGAGACCTGCTAGTGCAAGGCCAAATCGCCAGGTTCTGCTCCGCTACTCTTAATGCGGCAGACGACAACCCAAAATGTCAAACCAGCCGAACCCCAGCACCCCAATCCCCATGTTCCACTGTTGCAGCGTATCAGCTCCGAATTTCTGCTTCTCATGAACTGCATGCGCTCAAAGCTGGGAGAGCTTTGGAAATGGCAAACTACTCAAGGACCAGCTGGTGCGGCTTGTCGAGTTTGTCCACGGTGGGACCTTCGTGGCGCTCTGCCAAAAAGCAAGTGTTGAAGAAGTTGAACTCTAGGATTTCGGGCCTTGCAGTTAAACACATGTAGGGTTGAGAGTGTCGGGTTTAGATCCTTTCAGGTTTCTGAAACAAGTTGGCATGTGTGATGAAGGGTTTTTGGTATGAGGATCTGAGCGGTTGCGATGAACTGTCCCTTACGGTCTTGTCAAGCATCTACAGCTTCGCCTTGATGGTAGAGGGGGCGAAATTGGGCTGAGTCGTATTTTGTGGCCAGATTTTTAGGCTGGGGTTCAGGAATGGATTTAGGTCTGAAGCGCAAAGAGTTTGGGTTTAGCGCTTCTCGGATAGGTTTAATGGATTTCACGCAGCCTGTCTCTGCCCCTTCGTCTTGCAGTCTCCACCCAGATCGGAGAAGAAAGGCGAAGCCCGAAGACCTGCGCGTGGCCGTGGACTGTGCCGCCTTCTTTGGGGTGCCGTCGCTGTGGGAGTCTCGGGCCGGGACGGGCCGTCCGGACCTGCAACTGGATTCGAGATACGGGGCAGCATCATTGTAAGACATGCTCGCATGAAATTCAGGGTTGAGCTACAGGCTCGGACAGTTGTGAGAAGCCAGCCTTGAAACAGGAAGCAGTAGTTAGTTTTCGTGTTCGCCTGAGGCTTCACCACGTCCGCGAATGGATTGCAGCAAATTTGAAGGCCTCACAAGACTTTGGGTGTGGGGAGCGAAAACACCCAAGTCCCCATGCTTGTTTCGTGCGGTTTAGGGTTGCTTGCATTGGCTCGGAACTCAGACATAGAAGCATAACGCTTGAGCTTCAGATTGTTGTTGTGTGTAGTTTGTGTGTAGTGGGGATGGAACCGACTTTGGATGCCGCGAGTGGTTCGTGTCATTCAAAGCCTCTGTAGGCTTGCAACTTCATCTGGGTTGTTAGATATGTTAGATCTTGGTACAGCTGCACCCCTGTGTGGGAATCCCCTTGCTTCTAAACCATGTCAACCAAAGCAATCACCCTGAAATGTGGCTGGCTGCGGGCGGCGTACTTCCACTGTGCGCTTCGATTATTGCTTTGTGATCCCAGTGTCAGCATCGGCAGCACCTTTCCGCAAGCCTTATACTAAGCCAAGCGAGAAACTTCTAGCTCTCGCCTGAGATGAAGCCCTTCTGCCGAGGCCCTCAAAGCTGTGATTGTGTTAGCCATGAAGTTGTCGGCTGAGAGCTTTCGCAGAGGTGGCGACTGCCCCTTTACTGTGGACTTTCGTCGAGTCCGAGCCGCAGTTGAAGCACCAGGCGAGGGACTCTTTTGTTTTTGAAGTGTGGGACGTTTGTTTTTGGGCATCTTCAAGGGTACTTGTCGGGATTCTGGATTTAGGGATGGCTTTCCGAGTTCGGAGTTTCGCAGTGCTTTTCGGCGCTGCGGTTGAAGAGACGATTGCGGGATCTGGTATTGGGATTTATCAGTCTGGGAGCTCCGGTGCCCTGCTTCCTAAAGATCGACAAACAGTCTCAAAACAGACTTGAGTGACTTGAGCAGATGAATGCGAAAGCTTGAGGGACGCTTGCCAACACATGGCCTTTACTGAGGGCTTTTGGCGTCGGAGCTGGCCAAGTTTGCAGAAGTGAAGGGGTTAAGTGCACAATCCAAGGAGCAGAAACCACTCGTTTTTCTCTGCACAACTCCGCAAGACCCAACATGTTGTGCACGCAACTAGGTTGCACTTCAGCACCGGCCTAAACCTTGCAAAGCAAAAGCTGCGAAGGAACTTCACTGTTCATGGCATACAGACGATGCGGCTCACTACCACATCTCTTCTAATCATGAAGCATTTAGAGCTTTCGTACTAGGCTACAATAACTGTCTAGGGCAAAATCCAGCCTGGCAGTTTCCAGGCCATCACATAACCCCAGGTTCAAGTGCGCAAAACGGTTAGACATATCATCACGCGTCAAATGCTTTTGGCACTTCTTACGCAAATTGAGCCTATGAAACATACAGCACCTGAGCTCACTGATCTAATCGGCATTCCAGACATTGAGTCAAACCACAAGGAAAAGTTGAGACAATCCCAAGAAATGACTTTGATGGCTTGCAGATATGCAAGTGGCCACGTCCAGGTTCCTGCATGCGGGGATGACCCCAAACATAGCTCCGAATACGAATATCGCAGCAGCTTCGAGTAAGCAGAGTCTGACAGGAATTGAAGTACTTTCAGACCGAATATCAGCACGAGGGCGGGCAACACTTCATGCCCGACGCAGAGCTTTGAGATTGGCGATGGCCGCATCCACCTTCCCAGCATTGGATCTGAACAGTGTCTCCGAGGTCTGCACTTGCAAGATGGATTTGAGCACTGCTGGCTTCAAAGCCAGCACACGCTTTTTTGCTTCGTCCCAGCCTCCAAGGATGACTCGTCGTCCAGGAGGGCCTCTATGATCTTTATGAGCTTGCGGGATTTTGTGCTGATTTCGGTTGATGTGCCATTGCTACTCGAGGTAGTGTAGGTCTGCGGCGCCCTAGGGGGTAGCTTGCATAATGCGGGCTTCTGACGCTTCGAGCTCACGCTTTCGCTCCAACTCTTCAGCCTTGCGATCTTCCAAGCTTTTCTCTGCAGCGATCTTTTAATCATGCGACTTGTTGTAAGCCCGAAGCTCCTCCAACTCGCTGCGCTGGACGGGATGACGAGCGAGAGGAAGAGTACGAACGGGATCTTCTGTTTCTGCGGCGTCCTTCACGGGACAACAAGGTGTCATAAGGTGTCTACAAAATAGGCTGCAAAGGTCTCCTGCAAGGTCTCCTGCATGGAATCACTGCGGGGCCGGTAATTGTAGTAACCGTTGTGCTGGCTGCCTTTCCCATGGTGGCTGTCACGGCCGTGATTCCACCCCAGGAACGATGCTGACGTGCATTTCCACTTTCCTGCGACCATCCTCCCTGCACAC